TGCTTTTATCTACCTTTACAGTGCTAGAAGATTGTGCTTATATCTAGATGGTACTTGTATCTACCTATACTTTTTCAAATCGGTGAAATTAAATTCCATATTTTAAAATATTAACTGTAGCTCAGCCATTGCTTTAAAAAAGAAAGAGAGAGAGACACATGGAATTTAAATGTTTGGGAAACTGACATTAATATTTATCTGTGAGTTAATTTATGTGTAATCTTTTCTCTGCCACCTACCCCCATAATCATCATTTATTGAAAGGCATCATTTGGATACTGATAAGAAGATTTAACAGTAAAAGCATAAACAAAACTGTAATGAATTAATTCTACCCACCTATCCCCTATGACTGATGGAGACTATGTTTTGAGCTACCAAATCTCAATTATTTCAGATATATTTCTTTGCACATTCATGATGTTGCTTAGTATCGTCATCATTCTACCACTCCAAAGAACCTTATTGAGCCCCTCGTGTGTCAGCATTATAAGCAGTTAAGCATTGTAGGCTATAGAAATGAATAACTCTTGTTCATTACTATCAAGTTAAAAATATTCTTCTTTCTGTCAAACGACAAGAGATTTAAATGACCTATTTTAGTTAAGCTAAGCAATATATTGGATTTAGGAAAGAGATATAATAACTTTTGACTTCAAGTGAGGTAATTGCTTTACTTGTCAATATGTGACATTCTCTAGTTCAGCCACCATGATTCCCTAAGTTATGAAAGAAATTACAGAAAATTAAGTTTAGTATAATACAATGATTTGGATATTCAATTTATTCATATAATTTTTAGTCTTAGAAGATTTTGATGTATATATACTGTATTTAATGAAATCCAATATAATTGAAGAAAATATTACTTTAGGTCTGATTCACAAACTCTTGTCATTTTTATAAAAATGTATTAATTTGGAAATGATATATCACACAGTACTTTAATAGCAATGAATCTTATGTTCTTATTCAACAAAAATCGAGGGTGTGAACAAGTTTTTATAATATGTATCTCTACTAAAAAATGAAACAGTATCCACTTTTTTGAGCTGAAAACAACCAGACTTTTTTAAAAATAAACTCAATAGATATTTTCAGTGAATAAAATTTTGTTCTCTTTTAATTTGAGCCTTTCTAATTGCTTTCTTTTTTTAACTTTTATTTTAAGCTCAGGGGTACATGTGCAGGATATTAGAGGTTTGTTGTACAGATTATTTCACCACCCAGGTATTAAACCTAGTAATCTAGTTATTTTTCCTGGTCTGCTTCCTCCTGCTATGCTCCACCCTACAATAGGCCCCACTGTGCATTGTTCCTCTCCATGCGTCCATGTGTTCTCATCATTTAGCTCTCACTTATAAGTGAAAACATGCATATGATATATAGTTTTCTGTTTCTGTGTTAGTTTGCTAAGGAGCCTGCAGCTCCACCCATGTCCTTGCAAAACACACAATTTTGTTTTTTTGTGTGGCTACGTAGTATTCCATGGTATATATGTACCACATTTTCTTTATCCAGTCTATCATTGACCAGCATTTGGGTTGATTCCACATCTTTTCTATTGTGAATAGTGCTGCAGTGAACATATGTGTGCGTGTGTTTTTATTATAGGACAATTTATATTCCTATGGGTGTATACCCAGTAATAGAATTGCTAGGTCAAATGATATTTCTGTTTCTAGATTTTTGAGGAATCACCCTAGTGTCTTCCACAATAGTTGAACTAATTTATATTCCCACCAACGGTGGAAAAGTGTTACTTTTCTCCACAATCCCACCAGCATTTGTTATTTTTTGACTTTTTAATAATAGCCATTCTGACTGATGTGAGATAGTATCTTATGGTTTTGATTTGCATTTCTCTAATGATCAGTGATGTTGAGCTTTTTTTCATGATTGTTCACCATGTGTGTCTTCTTTCAAAAAGTGTCTTTTCATGTCCTTTGCATGCTTTTTACTGGAGTTTTCTTTTCTTGTAAATTTAAGTTCTTTATAGATGCTGGACTTTAGACCTTTATCATATGCATAGTTTGTAAAAATTTTCTCCCATTCTGTAGCTGGTTTACTTTGTTGATAGTTTCTTTTGCTGTGCAGAATCAGAAATGATAAGGGGGATATTGCCACTGACCCCACAGAAATACAGACAACAACCAGAGAGTATTATAAACACCTCTATGCATATAAAGTAGAAAATCTAGGAGAAATGGATAAATTCCTGGACACATAACACGCTTCTAAGACTGAAGCAGGAAGAAATGGAATCCCTGAAGAGACCAATAACGAGTTCTAAAATTGAAGCAGTAATGAATAGCCTACCAACCAAAAAGAAGCTTAGGACTAGATGGATTCACAGCTGAATTCTATCAGAGGTACAAAGAAGAGCTGGTACCATTCCTGCTGAAACTATTACAAAAAATTGGGGGAAAAAAAAAAAAGAACTGACTCCTTGATAAGTCATTCTGAGTCTGGCAGCATCCTGATACCAAAACCTGGCAGAGATACAACAAAAAAATAAAATTTTAGGCCAGTATCCCTGATGAACAATGATGTGAAAATCCTCAATAAAATACTGGCAAATCTAATCCAGCAGCACGTCAAAAAGCTTATCTGCCATCATCAGGTTGACTTCATCCCTGGGATGTAAGGCTGGTTCAACATACACAAATTAATCATCACATAAACAGAACTGAAGAGAAAAACCTCATGATTATCTCAATAAGTGCAGAAAAGGCTTTCAATAAAATTCAACATCCCTTCATGGTAAAAACTCTTGATAAAGGTATTGAAGAAACATACCTTCAAATAGTAAGAGCCATATATGTCAAACCCACAGCTAATATCATACTGAATGGGCAAAAGCTAGAAGCATTCCCCTTGAAAACAGGCACAAGACAAGGATGCCCACTCTCACCACTCCTATTCAAATAGTGTTGGAAGTCCTGGCTAGGGCAGTCAAGCAAGAGAAAGAAATGAAATGTATTTAGGAAAAGAGGAAGTCAAACTATATTTGTTTGCAGATGGCATGATCCTATATCCAGAAATCCCCAGTGTCTCAGTCCAAAAGCTTCTCAAGCTGATAAGCAACTTCAGCAAAGTTTCAGGATACAAAATTAATGTGCACAGATTGCTAGCATTTGTATACACCTACAACAGACAAGCTGAGAGCCATATTATGAATGAACTCCCATTCACAGTTGCTACCAATACCTAGGAGTACGGTTAACAAGGGAAGTGAAGGACCTTCACAGGAGAACTACAAATCAATCGGAGCAGACACAAACAAATGGAAAAACATTCCATGCTCATGGATAAGAAGAATCAATATCATGAAAATGGCAATATTGCCCAAAACAACTTATAGATTCAGTGCTATTCCCATTAAACTACCATTGATGTTCTTACAGAACTAAGAAAAACTACTTTAAAATTCACATGGAACCAGAAAATAGCCCAAATAGCCAAGGCAATTCTAAGCAAAAAGAACAAAGCTGGTGGCATCACACTACCCAACTCCAAACTGTATTACAAGGCTACAGTAACCAAAATAGCATGGTAGTGGTACAAGAACAGACACATAGGCCAATGGAACAGAATAGAGAACCCAGAAATAAGACTGTACACCTACAACCATCTGACCTTTGACAAAACTGACAAAAACAAGCAATAAGGAAAGAATTCTCTATTTAATAAAACTGGTTAGCTCTATGCAGAATAGTAAAGCTGGACCCCTTGCTTACACCTTATACAAAAATCAACTCAAGATGGATCAAAGATTTAAATCTAAAACCCGGAACTATAAACACCCTAGAGGAAAACCCAGGCAATACCATTCAGGACATCAGCATGGGCAAAGGTTGCATGATGAAGATGCCAAAAGTAATTGCAACTAAAGCAAAATTTGACTAAAAGGATCTAAAAGAGCTTCTGCACAGCAAAATAAACTATCTAATTGTACACATTAAAAGTGTCTGTAACATTCTAAAAGGCTTTGTCTTAACATTTTTATCTTCAACTATGACCTATCTCTTTTGGTGTTTATAAAGAGCCACATTGTTAAGAATATTAGGTGTATAAATGCCATTTAAGTCTTGGGGAGAGATGTATTACCATGATCATTTGCTTAATTTATTTGTGTGTGTGCGTGTGTGTATCATGACATATGCCCACAATTGTATATGGTTATTATAATTCATTAAAAATTTTAATTAAAAATAATTCAAATTGTTTCTAAAGTAGATAGATGATGGAGAATGAGATAGGCAGTGTCATTTTCAAATAGAACTGTAATATGCTAGCACTGAAATCAAGCTTAGGGGTCATGATATTCTGACACATTGGTTTCAGATCGGGAAACAGAAAACAAGAGGCTTAATTCTCCATCACAGTATACATGCCCATTGAATGTGAAAACCAGGATTGCTGTTGACAGTTTCCTGCCCTGGGAATACAGATGTGAAGTAGGCTGGTTCTCTAGGCTGGGCTGTGGCCAGGCTGGAAGTCAGGACCTCTCTGGAAAGTACTCCATTAGACTGACATTTTTTTTTTTTTTTTAAAATGAGACAGAGTCTCACTCTGTTGCCCAGGCTGGAGTGCAGTGGCACAATCTTGGCTTATTACACCTTATGCCTCCCAGGTTCAAGTGATCCTCCTGCCTCAGCCCCCCTAGTAGCTGGGATTACAGGCAAGTGCCTCCATGCCCAGGTAATTTTTTTTTAAAGTAGAGATGGGGTTTCGCCATGTTGGCCAGGCTGATCTTGAACTCCTGACCTCAGGTGATTCACTGCCTTGGCCTCCCAAAGTGCAGGGATTACAGACGTGAGCCACTGCACCAGGCCTAGACTCTCATTTTCTAGTGCTCCTCTGCATCTCCCTAGAGCTGAACCTCAAGTACACTTCTGTGTCAGCCTTCAGCCTTCTGGGCTTGACTGAAAATGGGCTCTTGGCCCTTCTCCTGCTGGCAGGGGCAAGTCCATCTGGCCTTTGGAGGTATGGGGGAGAAGTAGGTGATGAAGTGTGAGAAACAGTTCTGATATATGTGTGTTAACACTTGTTATTTGCGTGCTGTGATTAGTGTGCAGTTCTGGTTTTGTTTTGGTTTGGGAATCGATTAGAAGTCCCACCTGAATTCCAAGTGATCCCAAGGTGGACCATGCTGAGAGCCCAAGAGAGATGATGATGGTACTTGAGCTCGTTTATTGTGGTCTTTTAGATTCTGTGTAGCATTTGTTCTGATTATGAAAGTAATATTCACTATGTTTCCATACAAACCAGCAAGAAGAAGTCAAAAAAGGTATTCTATAATTTCACCACACAGAGAAAAGCCACTTTGCATTTGGGGTATATCCATGAAGATACCCAAAACACAGGCACCCAGAGGAAACCACTGTAAACATTTTTGGTGAAATTCTTTCCAGATTAATGAGTATTAGGTGGTAATGACTATGGTAGGAAGATTCACGTACCCGTGCAGAACCCTGTAAAATAAACATTTTAAACTACTTTCATTGTTTTAGATTGTGAGGCAGAGGCACAGAGAAATTAAATGACATTTTCAGGGTCACATTCTAAGTGGTAAATATCAGATTAGAGGGTCAGATGTCTCTGTTCCTAGTTGGGACACTTTTTACATTATACAGTATTATGGCCTCTTCAGAAAAAGCATGTTTAGACTGCTGCTGAACTGTCAGTTAGAGATTAACATGGTTTTCTTGTAAGTCTGTAGCCCACCATATAATTGGTCCATGTAACTTAGCTGGATAATGTTTGTATTCTTGGAGTTAGATTGGCTGTTGTGATCTTCTTGAATTCAGAAAACTGAAAACTCTGAGGTATGTGTGACTACTATTGATAATTATTTGCTAAATTAAAAAGACTGCATTATTTTTAGAGGTAACAGTGACATTTCTCTTATTTTGTCTCCACCTGTTCATACATATTTGGCTAAGTTTGTTGTTGTTGTTGTTGTTTGGTTGGTTTGGATTTTTTTAAAGCAAGAATTCCTGACAAAAATTTAAAAACCTGTTAAAAATCATTTGTATGGGAAGGAATACCCTCCTTATACAAGAAGCCTGCCTCTTGGGTACCTCATAGGACATGTACCCCCAAAAACTGCTTACTGCAGACCATCAGAAGTAATCTGCTGGGCTGCTGTTGCTTTCTACAAAAATTGTAGCATATACAAGTTTGAAAACATTTGTTTTTCATATAAACATATTAGTGACATATATATAAATCAATATATATTAAATCTATTAAAACAAATATATAAGGATGTGTTTTGTTAATTTAAATAGGACTCAATTTGTCTTTAATAGTTTTTTTTTTATAAAGGAGATGATTTGTAACAGAAAAGTATAAATTTGCATGCATTAAGAGTGCCCTAAGACATCATGATTTTATGTTGAGCTATTACCCATTACTCCGGTTACTTAACGGGAATTATTCACCCGCGAATTTCCACTGTCTGCTCTGCCTCTCTTAAACCATCTTACTCACAGTTGTGCACATTCTTCCATCCATTATATTGTGTTGTCTTGCTGGTGAGAAAAACCAAGAGTCATATGTTAGTTTCCATTTATTACACAATCACAAATAGCTCTTAATGTGGTCTAGTGTCATCACATGGCAGTTCTCCAATGATTCAGAACTGTATTTCTGTTGTACTTAGTTATGGAGAGCCACATGAGAGTCATGTATTTGTTTATCTTCATGAATCTCAGTCAGAGGACCAAAGATCTTTATTTATTTATTTATTTGAGAGAGTATCTTGCTCTGTTGCCAGGCTGGAGCACAGTGGTACAGTCTTGGCTCACTGCAACCTCCGCCTCCCGGGTTCTAGCGATTCTTCCACCTCGGCCATGCTAGTAGCTAGGGCTACAGGCACGTACCAAATGCCCAGCTAATTTTTGTAATTTTTTTAGTAGAGATGGGGTTTCACCATGTTGGCCAGGATGGTCTCGATCCCTTGACCTCGTGATCAACCCACCTCGGCCTCCCAAAGTGCTGGGATTACAGGCGTGAGCCACCGCACCTGGCTCAAAGATCTTCTTATGGTAGATACCTGGCCCAAATTGTACAAAGTTATTAAGATTACTATAAATATTAAACAGATAAAAATTACACTGTAATCTCTGGAAAAATTGCAGATGGCCTAAATGTGCGGTCATAGGAGGCAGGTGAAATAAATCATGATATGAGTTGACTCTTGAATCATTGCATTCAAGATTCTTTACAGATCAAAACAGAACAACCCAAAGCGTAGTTTTTCATTTTCAGCTCACTGAGTGTAAAAGGGAACCACTTGCTCTGGCTAGCATGATGGTAAAATAAAATGTAGCTAGCCCATGGACATTGCAGGAGATAAAGTATTTAATAAGTGTCTTCTAGAAGTAACATCGAGATAGAACACCTGCTCTTTTCATTATGTCTTTAAACAAGCTGAGTCTCTTGGGGTTAGCAAGTCCCTCCTTTTGGCACACTGTGCTACGACAAAGATACATTTTAAACCTCAAGTAATTTGCTGTTGTCTAGAGCATGCATTTTGGAGAGAAGGGAAGTAAGTCCCTGACTTAAGGCACAGTAAGGCCCATTTTGAGTACAACTTCGAGATTGTGACATTTGTCAGGTTATGCCGCATTTCCTGCCGCATTGGCAGCCTTCATTATTTGCTCATTGTTATTTTCAAGTTTTATATATTACCAAAGCACATAGACAGTTGGTCTGTAAGGCATACCTGTGCAGTGGACTTCTGGATTTCTCTGTGTGCTTTCAGGAAGGGATCTGAGTGGCCATTGAGTAATGCCTTTGCTGATGGCTTGTTTCTGTTATGCCTTTGCTTGGTACAGTCCTGCCTGTGGTAGCAGCAGGGGTGGGTGGAAGTGAAAGAGCGCTGAGTGCCTCTTAAATCAGTTGTCATTTTGGCAGATTCAGTCTAACCAAGGATGACTTCCATATGCAATGGCTAGGAAGGACCTTTTGGCCTAAGAAAATAATATTTAATCAGCAGTGTGGTTCATCTTATTACTCTGAGGAGAAAACAACTCACCACCAAATTCTATTCTATCATAGATAGAATTTTTTAAAACCAAAATCAAAACATCTGCTGTTTTCTAGCCACATGAACCTGAGGCTCTGTGCTCCTGGAGGAGCAGCAGGTTGTACAACTGCTGTGCACTCTGTATCTTGTAGACCTTGCCACCAGGCGAGGGGGATGCTCTCAAGAGTTAATAAGCAATTAGGATGTTCTTCCCCGTCAATTAACTGTCAGAATAATAAGACCGCAGGAGCACTCTCTTTAAGAATGCCAAGACTTATGTTTTCTGAAAAGCATGTCTTTCTCTGCTGCTTGCAGTTACACAAATAGACAATTACTTAATGCTGGGAAAATGCAATAAAAATTGTACCTACAGCAAACAGAAAAGAGAGGTGTACAAATGGGATATCATTCACTCTAAACTCAGAATTCATGGATTTCCCTCCTGAGTGGCCATAGTGACATTATAATATCTTCTGTCATCTTATTTGGCTTAAAGGTTGACAGATAGAATACTTAGGTAGTGAACATACCAGCAGCATTGCAAGTGACCTGTGTATGTGTGTGTACATGTGTGTGCACATGGCTGGGAGGCTGACATAGGTCCCATAGCTAATAAAGGGTAGGGCTGAGATTGGATGGAACCCAGGCAGTTTGATTTCACTAGTCTATGTACTTTTATCACTACATTGTTTTACCTTTCATATTGTATTGGTAGAACATAATAATAGTGATTTTTTGTTATTACTAATGTGATTAATAATTAGTTTGCTGGGACCACCATAACTAAATACCACAGTCTGGGTAGTTTAACATAAACATATTTTCTCATATCTCCAGAGGCAGGAAGTTCAAGATCAAGGTGCCGACAGGTTTGGCTTCTGCTGAGGCTGCTCTCCTTGGCTTGCAGACAGCCTTTTTCCCATGTCCTCACATGGTCTTTCCAGACAGACCTCACTTGGTCTCTTTGTGCATCCAAATTTCCTTCTCTTATAAGGATACTAGTCAGATTAGATTAAGGAGCACTCTAATGGCCTTATTTGTAAAAATTAATTATTTTAGTTGATCAAAATTCTATATATTTGTCATGTACTCCACAGTGTTTTGAAATGTATATCCATTGTGGAATGGCTAAACAACCTAATTAATGTAAGTTACCTCACATACTTAGTTTGTGTGGTAAGAACCCTTAAAATCTACTCTTAATGATTTTCAAGAATACAATACATTGTTATCAACCATAGTCACTGTGTTGTACAGTCACTGTATCATAGATAGATCTCGATCTAACTAAAATTTTGTACCCTTTGACCCAGCATCTTCCTAGCTTCCAGCCCCGTAGCCACCCTTCTACTCTCTGCTTCTGTGAGTTCAACTTTTTAAGATTCCATGTGTAAGTGAGATCATGCAGTATTTTGTCTTTCTGTGCCTGCCTTTTTAACGTACTATCCTCCAGATTCCTCCATGTTACTGGAAATGACAACATGGAGGATTTTTTTTTCTGTTTTAAGGATGAATAGTATTCATTGTGTATGTGTTACCACATTTTATTCATTCACCTGTTGATGGACACTTAGGTTGATTCTTGGCTTTTGTGAATATGCTTCAGTGAACATGGGAGTGCAGATATCTCTTCAACCTACTGATTTCAGGTCCTTTAGAGAAAATTCCATGCTGTTTTCCATAGTGACTGTACATTCCCACCAGCAGTGTGCAAGGGTTCCCCTTTCTCCACATCTTCTCCAACACTTATTTTTCATCTATTTGATAATAGCCATTCTAACAAGTGTGAGTTGGTACCTCACTGTGGTTCCAATTAGCATTTCCCTGATGTTTAATGAGCATTTCTTCGCATACGTGTTGGCATTCATACCTCTTCCTTTGAGAGATGCCTGTTCAGGTCCCTTGTCCATTTTTAAAATTGGATTGTTTTCTTGCCTTGAGCTGAGTTCCTTATGTATTTTTTATATTAATGCATTATCAGATGTATAGTTTGCAGACATGAAGTTTTTCCCATCCCATCGGTTGTCTGTCACATTGTTGATTGTTTCCTTTGCAGTGAAGATGCTTTTTAGTTTGATGTAATCTTGTCTATTTTTGCTTTTGTTGACCATGCTTTCAGAGTCATATCTAAAAAGTTATCGTCCAAACCAATGTAATGGAGCTTTTCCCCTCCATTTTCTTCTGGTAGGTTTACAGTTTCAAGCCTTATGTTTAAGTCTTTAATCTGTTTTGAGTGGATTTTTGTACATGGTGTGCAATCAGAGTCCAATATCACCCTTCTGCATGTTGGTATCCTAATGGATTCCATTTAACTCCATCACATCTTTAAAGGCCCTATGTTCGCATGCAGTCATGTTCTGCAGTACCAGGGATTAGGGCTGCAACAAGTGAATTTTGAGGATATACTAGCCAATAACAATAACATACTATTATTAATATTAGTATTCTGCTAAATGCTGTCAATACTTTATTAGTTCATTTATTTGTTCGCATACTCATTTCTGTTGAAGTGAAATTAGAAAATTTAGCAAATAAGAGGTTTTTTGTAAAGTATTCATGAAAAGGTTTCGAATCAATTTTATTAAATATTGGCTATTAATGTCTTCTTGGTCAAACTTTAAGCTTCCTATGGGAATTTCTATTGTAAATTTCATGATTGAATATTTTCAGGGTCTACAGTGGATATCTGAGAAAGGCCAGGAAATATGAAATCCCAAATGTTTTCCAACTCATAGTTAACAGCTAACTGTCTATATAATCTTCCAATTCAATGGAAAGGTAGAATTTAAAGATGATGTTAAGAATAAATAAAGGAGAGTAAACTTTTATCAAAGATACAACTCACATCAAGAACTAAATATATTTGTAGTTGCAATGTCTTCAGGTGATTTCTGAACAAAAGAGAATAACCACTGTTGTTCAACATGTTTCAGTAAATGAATAGAGATTGTGGGTGTATCCAAGGACTACAATTCAAGAAAGAACAAAGATGTAGTTTGCAAATAATTTTAAATAACCAGAGGCAACATTTCTCTCAGAAATTTTGGTTGTTCTCAACCCTGGCTGCCTATTAGAATCATTTGGGGAGCTTTGTAAAGTTACCAATGCTCTGACCCCAGAACAAATCAGAATCTGTAGCTAGTGGGGTTGGGGTGACGGAGTGGCCACAGAGATGGTAGTGTGCTGCCCAAGCTCTAGGATTGCTCTGTAAGCTCTCCAGGTGATACTAACAGGTCTTTATCTCCTCTTAGGGGAAGAATTCCCTGAGAATCAAAGTCAGAGGTTCTCATTTATTTTTGTGTCTCTCAAGAAGCTCTAGCAGAAGGTAATGGGTGCTTTCTTTTTTCTTTTCTTTCTTTTATTTTTTTCAGAAAGAATCTGGCTCTGTCACCCAGGCTAGAGTGCGGTGGCACCATCTTGGCTCACTACAACTTCTGTCTCCTGGGCTCAAGTGATTTTCATGCCTCAGCTTCCCAATTAGCTGGGATTACAGGCACATGCCACCATTCCTGGCTAATTTTTATATTTTTAGTAGAGAATGAGTTCTGCCGTGTTGGCCGGGCTGGTGTCGAACTCCTGGCCTCATGTGATCTGCCGGATTCGGCCTCCCAAAGAGCTGGCATGAGCCACCGTGCCTGGCCTGACTTCTTCTTTTTGTTAAGTTGAAGGTACACATCGTACCATCCACTGGTTGTCCTCCATGTTTTATACATAATTTTTAAAATATGTAGAAAACCTATAATGTGCGAGGTATGAGCAAGATAGCTTCTCCCTCACCCCAAACCCCTCCAGATAAGAATCAAATTATCTGCCCTCAAGGAATGTGGTCAACAGGGAGAAAGAGAGACAGGAAGGGAGGGAGGGCAGGTGGAGGGAACTTGTAAGGCATCAACAAAAATAGCTGCTACCTATAAACTAATGCTAACCAAAGAGAAGGTCAGCAGATGGTTGGGAATGTTTCGGGATGCGGTGGAATGGAACGGATGGATGG